GGGGGGTAAACGGAATAATAGAATAATCTTATAAGCAACAGTTTTGTCAGGATATCTCAAAAGATTTTACGATAGCTCGAAAAAACTTTGCCGGATTGCAGAAAATCATTTAATCAACATTTTAGACCATTTTAAAGCAAATCTAGTGACAATTTTAAAAAGAAAATCATTTTTCATAATGTGTTACAACTTTTTTTCAAATATTTATGGGGTAAGGACAAGTAGAAGCACATTTATTGAAAAAGTTATAACTTGATCTTTATGTGAATAGTCTATCAATGTGTAAATAGCATAGACCACCGCTTTGCAAAGTTTCAATTCTGTAGTTGCCAGATCTGGGACACATGGCGATCATGTTTTTCCATTCATTCCTTTGCTCGGATACTCTCAAAAAAGCTACGTTTCCCTGATCTTTCCCTGTTACCCATTTGTTTAGGTTCCCTAGGTATGTTGTTCTGAGCCTACCCCTGCCCTGCTTGCCCTCAATTTTGCCAGTGAGAGCTAGATGTCCAAGACCCTTATGTCTATTCAGGTGTCCCAAAAACTTCATATGTCGTTTCCTGATTGTTTTTAACATTGAGCGTCCCACGTGGGCTTCATCAAGCATTACCTCATTTGATTGCCTTTCCTTCCACGATACTCTTAGCAGTTTCCTAAAAAACTACATTTCTGTTACTTCCATCGGTTATCATCAGACATTAAAAGAGGAAGTTTGAATAAACGTATACGATGTATGCTAGGGCTGGGCAATGAGTCGCTTTAATCCAATCCGGATAATATGTTTGGGCACATCTTTGGCAATCAATGTGATAATGAACCGCTTTACAACGCAAATGGGTTAGAACCACTTCTTCAGACGTGTCAGAACCACTTCAATAAATTATGGCTGCACCCTCTTCGGCAAACGGGTTAGGACAGAAAGTTAAGAGTCTGAGTTTGGATAATGTTTCACCAAAAGTAATTTGGTTTGCCCATATATTATCCGGATTTTTCCGACCACTAATGTGTTCTAGAGGCAGGCCTACTTACCTTAAGTTCTGGCATTTCTTCAAGCTTGTCTAGAGGGATCTTTAACCTTGACCCCTCGTCGCTTGTCATGTCGTACGGAATCATATCTGGTGCCAACTCCCTGAACCTCTGAAACACCCTGTGGGCGTATACACGAGTCAATGTGAGAATCTTCTTTTCTGTTTTTTGTTTTGTTCCTGAATGAAGTAATTTTCCGCTTCGATCGACACACTTTAGATCACTTAGGAGGAGTGTTAGAGCCAATTTGGGCTGACAGGGAAACAACTTCTGAACAGACCAGGATATTCAATAAAAGTGATACGCAGAAAAAAACAACAACAAAAACAAAACAACAAGAAGCCAACAACATACATAAAAAATAATAATTAAGAAACTCCCGAAAAATCCAAAAACAAAACAAAAGCAAAAACCAACAAAAAAGCAAAACAAAAACAAAAACAAAAACAAACAAAAAACAAAAACAAAACA